AGTTATTCATTTAGAAACGATTCATCAGCTTTTAGCCTCGACAGTGGGTCTTTCTGTCAGTCCAACACATATTTCCATTGAAAAATCTCAATTTTTTACAGAAATTTATGGATCCTTGAAGATAATCCTAATTACTTTAGTGAGATCCTGTCTTGTCATGTAGCGCCACCGACGAAGCAACATTTCCACTACATTCCATTACAACACTTGAGTTTTAGTCTGGGTCCAGACCTCCAAATCACAACAAACATCTCTGATTTTTGTTCAGCAATGAGGGCACTTCACGTCATGACAGGGTACCTCAAATCTATGTTGCCTTCTTGTCAGCCTCATGTGTATTTATTAACTAAAGGAAACCTGTAATGCTTTTCCTTATTTTCTGTCATACAATGTTACAGTGTCAGATGTTCATATTAAATGTGGGCAAAATTTAAAAAATGAGGTAAACATATGTAAAAGTAATCCCTGCAAGCAAAAACCTCAGGTTGTTCAGAATATTTTGTTTCCAACAGAAGACAAGCTGACGTCAGCTCGTGATGGATTTCTTAATATCGTCATCTGCTCCAGGCAAACTACCACAAGTTTCACATTAAGATCACAGCTACATGTAGCTACAGGCTAACATTAGGAAAACATGGAATCCTCGTTGCTGATGTTGTTAATTTCTCCTTGATTTCACATTTTATTCCTGCTGGAACATATCCAGCTGTGAAGCTTTTATTGGTGATGTTTCACAGTAGAAAGTGTCACTATTCTCCATTAGAGTTTTTCACCAGCTGCAATAACGGTGCAGAGACACCGAGTGTGCATTGAGCACAGATTGGACTTTTTCAGGAGGAAGGCTAAGGGGCCATAAACATGTCGCATTTTTTGTGCTCTCAAATGCATTGTTTTTCATGGAGATGCATGGCAGGCACACTCAACGCCATCAAGACACGCACACCTTCCCAAGTGCTTATTTTTCAGGGTGTGACGGCTGCACCCTGAGAAAGACGGAGTTCAACTTTTGGAACGCAGCAGTGCACACCACATCATGTGACAAGGAAGAACCAAATACAGCCAACAGGTATCTTTCCCTTCTTTTGCAAATATCAGTCTGTGATAAAAATGGAAAAAAGTTGATAATTTTAGTGCAAGGCTGCCAGAGCTTTACATCTGTCCATCGGAGAATAGGCCTACACATAAACAGCCTCTGAAAGAAGATCAGCTCTGCACTCAGGATTTCAGGTACACTCGGCACAGAAGCTGGCACAGAAAAGGCACAAGAGTAGCACCCAGCGCCTGACCTTGTGTTCTCCAGGCGGTTAAAGACATGGCATGTGTAGGCCCTGTATGTTTTATTTACATGGAATCAGGATGATGGTAGACGGCAAACTGGATATCATTTTAGTGGGTGAGAGCAGGGCAGCAAAATCAGATAACAGTAACAACGGTAACAGTAGACAGTATTGCCATTCCAGTCAGCCTAAAAGACCAACACAGCGCCACCAAGTGTACACACATGCTAAATACATCGACTGCCAGGTTAGTGAAAGGACATATTTGGCTCTTACAGCCTGATAATGACATTAATGGGTCCCCTTTAATGATTAATGCTAACACCTAGCATAATATCTTAAAGTTAGTATGTTAGCATGTTAAATATCATGTTAAATGTTGTGCTAACTGCTTTGCTGACATGCCAATAAAGCTCAAACAGAGTTGTTTAGAGTGATGAAACTTGAGCTAGACTAGTTTAAAATGTCTTAAAATGGCCACTAATCAAGTTAAGTTCTGCTGTGTTGCAGGCTAGCAGCCTCACAGGAACACTAGCACATCTTTGAAGTTTTAATCTTTAGATTTGAAATATATGTTCCCTGATTTCAGCTACAGGTTGGACTCACCTGAAGCTGCAGGACTGGACTCTGTCCCAGAGGCTGGTGGTGATAGTAGTTGTTTGGCTAGCAGGCCACATTTGGTAATTGGTCCTCTCTGTTCAAATTGTTACACAGTCCAAAACAACAGCCAAAAAAATCACCTTTGCAGGATCATCTCCACATGTTAGGCTTCAACTTAACATCTCCTCCTGTTCTCATGGTGTCTCCAGGTGTGTCTCATCAGTGGCTAATGAGGCCTGTGTGACATCACTGCTGACCCTCTTATCTAATCCAGAAGTAGGCAACCTGTAGCTCCAGAGCCATATGTAGCTCTTTAGCTCGTCTCCGGTGGCTCTCTCTCAAAAAAGTTAAATGAAAATGAATATTTGTTTTTAATTCTTACATTCTCCAGTTGTAAAAATGTGTAGCCTATGCACTGAATTAAAGAAAAACTAGTTTTAAAATTTTTGTCAGCTAGTTTGAAGAAAGGTATTCGCACATCCAACTGTCTCAGATACAGGTGTGTGTTGGAAAACATCACTTCAGCCTTCTTGGACCTTCATCAAGAGTGTTCAACTCTTTCAACTGTTCAACTCAAGAGTGTTGGACACCGCTGACGAAGGTCCAGGAGGACGGAAATGTTAGTGTTACTAATAAATTGTGAGGCTAAGCGAGAGCGGTGTGCGGGATTTTCTGTTCAAAGATTAAGATTTCGTCAACTAAAATGTGCTTCATATGTCTATGGCTTGGCATCTTTTTCTCTAAATTTTGCCAAACCTCAGTCTAGTCTTGAGCCTCCCTAGTTAGACTAGCAATGGATTCCAAATCCATAAAAGTAAAAGTCTCCCCAGACATCCCTCTCCCCAGCAAAACCTTCCAGCTCCTCCTGGAGGACCCAAAGGCGTTCCCATGCTAGATGAGATATGCAGTCCTTCCAGTGTGTTCTGGGTCTGCCCCGGGGCCTCCTACCAGTGGGACGTGCCTGTAACACCTCTAACCAGAGGCATCCTGATCAGATGCCCGAACCACCTCAACTAACCCCTTTCCACGCGATGGAGCAGCGGGTCTACGGAGCTCCCTCCCCATGTCCGAGGTCCTTACCCTATCTCTAAGGCTGAGCTCAGCCACCCTTATGAGGAAACTAATTTTGTCTGCTTGTATCCGCAACCTCATTCTTTCAGTCACTACCCAGAGCTCATGACCATAGGCGAGAGTTGGGACGTAGATGGACCGGTAAATCGAAAGCTTTGCCTTCCGGCTCAGCTCCCTATTCACCACTACGGTCTCTGCAGACACCACATCAAACCACAGAACCATCTCACACTCCATTCTACCCTCACTCACGAACAAGACCCTGAGATACTTGAACTCCCTCACTTAAGGCAGTAACTGCCTCCCAACCTGGATGGGTTATGGCTTATGGCAGTGTTATCATAAAGCTCCAATATGTTTAACGGCTCTGGTCTTTTGGTCAAAAATGGCTCTTTTGATAGTTAAGGTTGCTGACACCTGCCCTAATCTATCAAAATAGTTTGTGCTCGACATAGCAGAGTCAGTTTTCTAACTGCATGATTTACAGGAATGTTTAAATTTAGTTTTCCTTAATCACCTAATTTCTTCTAACAAATGTATCTCATATAAAAAAAATCTTTACAGTAGTGTTTTTATTAGTTTGTAGAAAAAGGTACAAATGCGCAGACATATATAATGAAAAACAAGATACATGAAACGAAACACTGTTTTTTGCTTCAACAACAGATGTAAACAAGGCAGTTCAAATATTAAAACAATACACAGATCCTCATTCAGAACTTCTGCTTTCTCCATCAAAGAGTACTACTCTTAATCACCCAGAAAAAATGAAAAAGAGATGCATTATGTTTCAAAAAACAATATACACAGACATTTAAGGAGACAAAGAAAGACTCCATTATATTTCACAGTGTTACACAAACAGAGAGAGTAACCTATAGCCTAGTTAGTGAGTGTACAATCATGGACCAGCTGGAAAGTTCTGACAGGAAAATAATGAGAAACACTCTCCACTCCCTCAACCATCAAGGTGCCCTTTAGCAAGGCACTTAACCCCAAAAGTTTGCGGTTGTAGTATGAGGCTCCCAAGATTGAATGTTTAAATGCTCTGGAGGGCAGTGCTGAAAACCAAAATGTAAATGTTTTGTTGAATAAATACAGGCGAGATTAATGATTGTGGTACGGTTTGAGAGCGGTGATTTAATTTGAATGTGAAATGTTTTTTCTGAGTCGGAACACCTTCCCTGAGTTTAAAATCATCTGTGAGAAAAACTTGCAGCAGACATAACTGCGTTTTTGGACATTAAACACTACATGGCCAATAATATGTGGACACCCCTGACCATATAGTCATAATCTGAGGTTATTTATCATGATCAAGCTTAGCCCCCCTAGGTTCAATTAAAGGGTAACTTGGGTATTCTTCCAACCTGAACCCTATTTTCCCAGGGAACTGCCCATTGGTTCGACATCCCATTGTTCCGACCATATTAAACTCATTGTTCTGAAGTCCGTTCTGAAATCATCATGATGCCCTATGGTTAAGGTCTGGTTAGGTTTAGGCACAAAAACCACTTGGTTAGGGTCAGGAAAAGATCATGGTGTGGGTTAAAATGAAAAAGAAAGTGACAAACATAAGCCGTGAGCCTGCTCCACCTCAAGCCGGTCGCGGCGCGCCATACGCCCGCCGTGAGCCGTTTAGCACCGCGGACAGTCGGACTAATGGGATGTTGAACCAATGACATGGACCCTTTTTCCATGTTTCTGCGTCTAAGTGACTGTTGAGAACAATAGTTTTTGAAATTGGTCAGTATTGAGCGAGACCACTGCAGCCAGCACCAGTGAAACAGGCTGCAATGTACTCATTAGGGGCATGTTCACACCATCAGTGCACGTCCGCTTCAAGTGTTTGTTTTTGCCACTGACAGGTTCAGATTGTTCTTGTAAGTGTCTGAATACATTATGGAAAACATCTCTTCAGAGACGGACCTTTTTGTTAAAGAGTAAGATCCTTTTTCCGACCTCGTCACATATTGACATTTGGTCACGTCCAGATATGACATGAAAGGTACTCTGGGTGCATTGGATGTTGACATTCTGGGACACCGTCTCAAGTTTTGCCTGTTACATGCATTGTCTTCTTTCAAAATACACCTCTGTTTTCACAGGAAATTTACTCTTTACATACAGTCTCTTTCTAAATAAACGCACTGCGTCAGTCCAAAAATGTGAATTGACCTTTTGTTCCTCTAACAACTACTACATGTGGTTGGGGTTAGCAAAAAAAGAACAGGGTTTGGCTTTATAATCTTATGGGACAAAAACACCACTCTCCCAGGTGAAAGTCAGTATTTGTTGGACCCATCCACCAGCAATCCCACCCTCCTTACTTAGACTTTCGCCACCTTGACTTTCGTTCTTGTCCCCTTGGGTTTACCCCTGGCTATTATGGTGACTGGCCGTGTATTATTCCGACGTTCAAGGATGGCTTTTTTCGTCAGTATCTAATGCACGTCATTGCCCAAGCACCGAATTTTGACGACTTCGGAGTGAGACCGGGTTGGAATTAAGGGTTTATTTCAACCAAACCAGAGTCGGTGATTGTAAGAACAGCGGAAAGATAAACAAGAAAGGCTTTTGTGAGTCTGGTGAGTGTGGCAATGGTGATTTTGTGCTGTTTCTTTCTTTTGGCTGAACAAAAAGGATCTTACTCTCTAACAAAAAGGTCTATTTCTGTTGGGGATCATGAGCCTGTCAGTGGCAAAAACAAGCACTTTTAGTGAATGCAAGTTGACTATGCTCAATTGCCAGGAGTGATTACACTGCAGCCTGTTTCGCTGCTGCCATCTGTAACCTTGTCGCTCAATACTGGACCAGTTTGATAAATTGTTATTCCCATTAGTCAATCAGACACAGAAACAAGGATAAATAAGGTCAAGGTTCAAAAATAGCAAACTTAACCTTTAAGGGTGACCTGAATGCTGCAGCAAAAGCTATCTGTTTCTGACAATGCCTTGCTTCCAACTTTTTGGGAAAAGTACTGTATGCCATGACATCTACAGATTCACAGTTTGTCATGGAAGAATTTGACTGGCCTGCACAAAGCTCTGACCTCAACCCCACTCAACATCTTTCTGATGAACTTGCAAAGCTGAAGTAAGCCAGGCCTTATCACCCAACATCCGAACATGCTGAATGAGAGCCTGCCGATGGTTTCTGAAATCTTCTAGCAAGCCTTTCCAGAAGAGGCTGTTATAGCAGCATATTAATGTCCATGGTTTCGGAATGAGGCGTAGATGTGATGTTTGCGTGTCCACATACTTCTGGCCATACAGTGTAGACATTTTGTTTAAGTGGCATCACCTAATGGATGTACATACTTTAATGGCTGCTGACTGGATGTTAGGTTCAATACTGATCAGTTAGAGTCTTAAGGAGGTGGAGAGCGGTTAACCCAAATTGCCTCAAAATAGCTCAGAAATGAACAAACTGGCTAACTGCTAATTTGCTTCCAGGCTACAGCTAATGCTAACCTCTCAAGCAGAGCTTTGAACCAGTGCGCTGTCAGAATGCTTTGTGTCTTGTGTTGAGCCGAAGCGTCTACCGATAACAGTAGACGCCAAATTTCAGGTACTGTGGGGGGAAGCCAAAACTACGCACCCCTGGTTCTGGTGGGCCGCAGTTAGCCCGGGCCTTTGTGATAGGATAACGGACACTCCCATCAGCCAACCAGCCGGCATCACAGCGGTCCAATCCCATCAGCCTCCAGGCAGCGTACATCTGTCCCACTTTGGCAATTCGAGTTCCATCACTGGCACAAGCCTTGACCGCTTCTGTGAAGTTGAGCTTGGTCTTGTGCTTTAAGAAGTACACAGTCCCTAATGCAGGAGAGAATTATAAGTGATGAGACTGTCATGTATATTTAGACTTTAAACATTCACACACACACACACACACACACACACACACACACATACTAACCCTTGATAGAGGCGGAGAAGCAGAAAGCATCATAGTGGTTGAGGAGGCGATGTTGTTGTCCATAGCTGCGCAGACCAGGAGCTAAGTCCAGGCCCCCGCAGCCTTCACGTGGGTCTGTGATTGGATATTGTACTGTGCCATCAGCCAACCAGCCAGCGTTGCACCAGTCCAACCCCTCCTCCCACGCTGTGAAGAGCTGCTCAAAAGTAGCCAGAGTGGCCTCCTGATCCTGGCATGCTTGTTGGGCCCCAAAGAAGTTGAAATGGTAGCGTCCTTTATGAGAGAAGTAGGGGAACACCACGCCTGTAACAGGAGGAGAAGTGTATTGTGATAGTTCGGATTTTATGGTCATACATAGCATTTGCAGGCCAACTGATGGTTAGAGCGACTGCCCCATTACAGAAGGGTCCAATAGGGTATATTTCACAGACATGGGCGTTTGTTTTTCAGGATAATGTGCTGTTGTACAAAAGAGCTTTTGGTCTGCTAGCTCTATTGGCAGCTATTGCTGGTAGTTCTGTGGACAGAGAGGTTTGGAAGCAGCCAGCAGACGGGTAAGGAGTGGTAGGGCCGCAATGTCAAGTGTTTTACAGAGGAATAGTTCCTCCAAACCTTAGGATGTCCAGGGCTTCATTCTTATATCTCTGACAGCACCTCAGAAAACGCTGACTGCATGTAGGTAAGCTGTCCCCCTCAGAAAGTATCCGTCAGTTGGACTCTATTGGCTGGTGGCTACGGTACAGCTACAGCACCCTTCTGTAATTACAACGGAACTCTCCAACACTGTATGGTGAATAATTGTACCTGCGCAGTGATGTATGACTGCAGAAACTACCGGTGTATAAGGAAAAACGGTAACACTTTACAATAAGGTACACAAAATTAGAGTAGTTACTGAGGAACTAATGAGTAGTTACTGAGGAACTAAGGTACCCAAAATTAGAGTAGTTACTGAGGAACTAAGGTACCCAAAATTAGAGTAGTTACTGGGGAACTAATGAGGAACTAATGAGGGATGAATGAGGAACTAATGAGGAACTAATGAGTAGTTACTGAGGAACTAAGGTACCCAAAATTAGAGTAGTTACTGAGGAACTAATGAGGGATAAATGAGGAACTAATGAGGAACTAATGAGTAGTAACTAAGGAACTAAGCTACACAAAATTAGAGTACTTACTGAGGAGTGGGGACGCATTGACTGAAGCTGATTGACTGAAGGTTCGGTCAATACGCCCCCACTCGCGTCCACGCATTTGATGATTTTTTATTTTATTGTATTTATCTGCGTTCATATGCAGATATCTGCTTACGGAGATTAGCCAAAATGGAACCCCCAAATATTGCTGGTTACAGTTGTTACTGATCTGAAGACGATAAGCCCCTGGGTTCCAATGTTGGTGTTTCTTTCTCTCAAGCCCCACCAGGCAATTTACATTAAAATGACATTGCACTTATAAAAATAGCTTTTAGGCTAGATTTTCAGTTTTACAAACATAAAACCTTCAAAGTTTAAAAATTCACATTACAAAAAGTAGGCCTAATAGCCGATCTTGTTTGTTTGCCTTTGGAGGTTTTCTGTCAACAGTTTTACAAATGAGTCTTGAAATGAAAATGCTTTTTGGGCCATCCTAGGAGAATCCGGTGCTGTATCAAGTTGTCATTACACATCCATGGGGCTCAGATTATTTTTACTCTTGGGCCTTCCAGTGAATTAATCCAGTCATGTGCACATCAGCTTTATACTGTTTACGCTCCAGGAGAAACCTGCTTCATTAGGTCCCATTTTGAACCGACCTGCTGCACTGTATGTCGACATGAAAGTTCAAGATGGGAGTCAAAAAATATTTTACAGCACCATCACAGGACTGCTGACATCTCACTCATATCCTCAAAAGGATTTGAAATGACAGTAATTTTAAATTTTACTGCACAGAAAGTGACTCATGAGTTCAGTGTCCCAGATTCCTCACACATCATAACATTTCACCCTCATCAATATGCTTCACCCTTCACACACACACACACACACACACACACGCTCCTCACCCCGCAGCTCCAGCTCCACCGTCACACTCTCATCCTCCAGTCCATCAATCACCTCACATCGGTATCTGCCTGTATCGTTGAGTTGCAGCTCATTGATCACCAGAGACATGTCCCCTGGTGCCGAGCGTCGCAGGCGCACGCGGCCCCGGAAGCTGCCGTAGCTGCGGTGACGGTTGCCCATGGCAACCATAACCTCAGTTTCCCTGGCCAAGGCTTCGGGTGAAACAGGTGCATTGATGGTGTTGGCAGGCAACCAGGACCACTTGACCCGGGTCCTGCGTGGTGTGGTCAGCTCAGGCTCGTAGTGGTAGTGACAGGGGAGAGTGACGCTGCTCCCCCTGGCGGCCGACACTGAGTGCTCCGGGGACTCCACGTGGAGGCGAATCCCGTTGAAATAGACTAGAAAAAGACACAAAGCATCAGAAATACAGCATTTTGAGCAGGTGAATCTTTACTTTGTTCTCTGTATTTGACATTAAGGCCATTATTTAAGATAAATCTTTCAGTGACTTTAATCACTTCTGTGTGGAAATGTAGTACTGAACTGGTCAGGTAATGGAGGAGGCTGCTTGCATGAGGTGTCTTGTATTGTAATTGTATGGATGATATCCATTTATTGGTATTTTCATTCTTGCACTTTTATTCATACTTTATATCAGCACTTTTTCTGCCTTGTGCTGCAACTCTTGCACAACAATTTCCCCCAGAATAAATAATGTTGTGTCTTATCTTATCTTATCTTATCTTGTCGTATCTTCTTGTCCTGATCTGATCTGATCGTGTCCTGTCCTGTGGTGTCGTTTCTTGTCTTGTCATGTCTTACCTTACCTTATCTTATCATATCTGATCGCGCCACATTGAATCGTAATGTGACGTGACGTGACGTGACGTGACGTGACGTGACGTGACGTGACGTGACGTGACGTGACGTGTCATGTCGTGTCGTGTCGTATCGTATCTTAACGTAACGCAGCATAACATATTGCATCGCATCGTATCTGGTGTGGTCTGATCTAATCGCGTCGTGTGGTGTGTTGTGGTGTCGTGTCTTATCGTATCGTCTGATCTCGTCTCGTATCTGATCGTGTTGTGTCATATCTGATCTTTTCTTCCTAATGTTTTAAATTTTAAAACAGAGAAAGCATAGTTATAACTAACAGTATTAATGATGACTCTGTTAGCCCAAAATTTGCAAGGTTATCCCTTGAAAATGGACTTAACCCAAGGCTAAAATTTGCCAGTGTGAAACACAAACAGTTGCCGTGTCCTAAGGTTAACCCTGGGTAACCAATGTGTATGTGAAATAGGCAAAGTTAGCCTGGGGCTAAGAGAATGCAGTGCGAAAAGCCTAATGAACATCAGTAACTTTTGAATGCCACTGCCGATTAAACTTCAGTGAGGACGGCAAAGTGCCTTTCAAAATATTTAATATTCTGTTCAGAGTGACCCTGCTGAAGCCTGTGATGGAACACATTGTTCACACCGTTGCACTTGTCAGTCTATAAAGAAGCCTCTCAGTGTGCAGTGATGTTGTCTGTTGTCAGCACCTGCAGGTACTCTGGTGCTGCTGTGCACAAGGCAAACATCTGTTGTTGATCAACATTAATATTTTATTATTTGCTTTTCACTGTGTCCCTGGAGCTGTCTCACTCAGCACTGCAACAATCAGTGTAGCATTTTTCAGCTTTGCACTGAATTGAGGGACAATATTGTCCATTAACAGCACACTCAAAAACTGTGATTCAGAAGTGAATTAAATCTGATTAACTTTGTCACTTTTTTGTCCAAAACCCAGCAACGATATACAGCTCTCCAGACCTCACAGTGAACATTTCAACCTGGCATTTTCAGGTGTAAATTAATATCGACTCACTAGGATGGTTTACTGGCCAGTCAAAATGGAAACTGAGTCATCAGAAATGTTATTATCCACACCCACACTGTCACATAAACAGTCCTAGGAAAGATCTACTCAGTTAAAGAGCACAGTGGCTCCAAATGTCAAATATTTATCCCATTATTTATTTATTATTTATTTATTTATTATTGTGCTGTATATTTCTCACTGACACTGCTACAGCTGGGTGCAGAGAACCACATTATTGTCAGTGAGGAAACTAAACAGTGGACCAAGAGAACAGCTGGCAAACAAAATACTTTATGCTACACATAGGCACTAATATTTAATGTCTAGGGCAACATGGACATGTTCACTTCCTTTAATGCACTCTCACACATGTCTACTGCAACACACACCATCAATCACTAGCAGAGTTTGTTTTTATAACCCGGTCTGGCTCGGCTGCATGGTTGTCTTCTCCCAACACACCCAGGTGTTTTGATGTACACAGATGAAGCATGTAGTTGTGTCTCACACACAGAGGTGGAATAAGTATTTAAAACTTCGACGTCAGTGAAAGTAATAACACTAGAGTGTAAAAATACTCTGTTGCATGCACTGAAAAGCTTACTTAAGAAAAACTACATTAGTATTACCATCAAAATATACTTGTACTTGTTACACAGAAAGGCCAATATTTGAAATATATGTAAAGATACGAATGATATGACGATACATAACAACTAATTTATTTTTAGATATTTTTGCACATCCTGCATCAAACTGTACAGCTCTCTTTCTCTATAACAGCTATAATGTACATATTTGTTATATTGTAGTACTTTTTTAAGTATCTTTGTGGTATTTTGAAATTGTACTTCTCAATTCTATATTTATTTTCTCAAGTGTTACAGCACTTACAGACTTATTCTCAATTCCTCTTAAAGCAAATACCTTCTAAGGGAAAAACCTACTTAGTAAAAAATCTTATTCAGATAAATGTTAATCTAGATCTTATTATAAACTTCTCAAAGAGATGTAGTGGAGTAAAATGTGCAATACTATTTATAAATACCCAAGTGAAGTACTTCAGAAATAAACTTGAGTAGGTGCAGCCTAGACTGTTGGGTTAACTTACTGCTCAAACATGCAGCAGACACACACACACTCACACAAAGCGACAAAAGGGACAAACAGAGGACCTACTCTCTCCGTTTCCGTTTCCGTTGCTGATGTCCTGGTAGTAAAAGCCATTGTTGTATCCGGGGATCAGGCCCTGTCCGCTGGGCAGCAGCAGGTACAGGCAGACAGCCAGCAGGGGGCGCAGCAGACTGAGCATTATGTTGTCTTCTGTTGAGCCAACAATCAGAATAGCTACTGTTCAGCTGACATATATATATACCAGGAGGACGCTGTGAGATCACAGATTGCTGATTGTTTGGATAAAACAATTAAAATAAAGCTCAAAATTATTTGTAGCACTGATAAGAAAGTATTAAAATCAATAGATTACCCTCTAAAAAGTAAAATAACCTCAGTATGGTAAAATGAGACAAGACAAAGAGATTATAATGAAATTACAGAATTTAAAAAAAAGTTTTTATGCTGTTTTATATTCAAAAATGTGGAAAAACTCAGCTTCTATTTTAAGACATTTGTTGTTGTTGTTGTTTTAGCATGTTCATAGTTCACATTCTTTCATGTTGAGTACAAAATATCTTCTCACAACCTAAATCTGAGAAAACGTTTTAAAAAATAAATGCACTGTAATGACTTATGATACAATAGGGGCAACAGTAAATCGATCATGTGCCTTGTAGAGACAGAAAAAACTTTTCAGTCACTAACAAACGTCGCAAATGTTCATTTAATATCTTCATATCTTCTCTTCGCAGTTTCCTCCCATTCTCTGTCCTCCAAGAAGTATTCAACCCCAAATAATTTCAATAAAACTAGGATTAAAACAGTTAACGTGTATATTTATATAGGCTATAAAGTATTTTTAAACGAGGTTTATAAAGTGTAAGAGCAGTATTTTACAGTAGTAATCACACCATCGCTCTAATATTGCACAGCCAGCTGGAAATATAAAGTAAGCGGACAGCCCCGGGTTCACATCCGCCGTGTGAGCGTCTCTCTGTGGGAAACTAAAAGTCTGAGGTCGTAAAAAGTCACTCACAGATAAGCAGTTGTCCGCCCAGCGTGTCTTCAGCTCTTCTCCTCCTCATCCTCTGCTGCGTGTCTGCTCACCCGACCCACACTCAAGAGGAGCGCGCGCCTGACGTCACCGGACGAGGCATCCCCTTTGAAGTGAACGGTGACCTCATCACACACGAGCACACTTTCCACGAGCCCCATACAGCAGATAATACCAGTATAGAATGTAAATAAGTGGGGGCTACATATCTGTATGGACACTTGTACTTTACTTGAGTCTTCAGTAGACTACAGCTGAAACCATTAGGGGAGACCGGGGGTGGTTGTAACATCTCAAGTTGCACCAATCAGAAGAGAGACAGAACAATGAAACTCATTATGCAGGTGGTCTGTGATGATACCTCTCTGCCTGCCAACAATCTATATTCTTGGAAGTTTACTGTGGTCCTTGGTATTTAATTGAAGGTTAGGTGTGCTGTGTGTGTTGCGGTTCTCTTGGTTGTGCTGCTGCACTACTACCGTTACTATTATTAGGGAGCTTTCGCACCTGTCCTGTTTGGTTCAGTTCAGTCAAACAAGTTTGTTTGCCCCCTAAGTGCAGTTCCTTTGGGCAGGTGTGAACACAGCAATCGTACTCAGGTGTGCACCAAAACAACCGGACCAAGACCTTCTTGAAGGGGTGGTCTCGGTCTGGTTACAGCTCATTCTCGGGACCCATCGGCTGTATTCGGCGTCTGACTTCCGGCAGACGGCGATACAGCCTCTGGGGGCAGACCCCCCGATTTTTTGGCATTCCGGTTTGATTTGGGTGGAGGAGGCAAATTTCTGTTTCTGACTTTTGTTTATATATATAAGTGAATATGCTGAACCATTGCGATGGATTCAGAGTTTGCAGTGATGCCAATTATGTTTCGCATCGTTAGTTCACCGCATGGACCGTTTAACCTGTTAACAACTGCAGCTGGCTCAAATGTGATTGGTCAATATCACGCGGACTACAAACAGCCTACAACTGGAAACCAGGGCTTTTCCGCTCTTCTTCCGGAGGCAAGATCTCCGGGGTTTGCCTACAGACTCTACATTCACTGAATGTAGAGTCTGTATATAGAGACTAGTTACAACTGAACTCTGGTGCAGTTCGTTTGTGGTGATAACGTGTTCCAACCTCGATCTGAACCAACTGCGGTCACATGACACATTGTTTGAGTTAAACATGAGCATGTTACAGTCCTGGAGGATTATTAATGTGCGCCTGCGGGAGGAAGGGGCAATTGGAACATTTGAATTCTAGTGTTTCAATCAATATTGTGATACATGTTGCCTACATAAAAATTGTATCCAAATAACTCAAGAGGTTTTTAACTGATGACATCAAAACAAAAAAATGTTACAATTGCCACCGGTCTCCCCTTAACGATTAATCAAGAAGTCAGATGACAGAAAATTAATTGACAACTACTTTTGATTGTTTAAGTTTTAAAAATTCAGAAAAATTAGGATTTGTTGCTTTTGTCTTTTGTTATTGTAATAATTGTAATTTTTTTTAAAACAATTTTGAGGTTTGGACTATTTGTTGGACAAAACAAGCAGTATGAAGGTTACACTTTGGGCTCTGTGATGGCATTTCTCACTATTTTCTAGGGGTATGAATCCATCATGAATCCATTCATGATGATAGGATCCATGATACGATATTATCACCATACTTAAGTCACGATACAATATTATTGCGATTTTAAATATGTTGCAATATGCAGAGAGTATTGCGATAAAATGTATTGTGATAAATTGTGATTTATTACCTTTTTGAAATGAATGAAGTGAATTATGTCCCCAAATGAAGACTTTGCCAATATTTGTTTTGTTTAATATGTTTTCGGTCTGTTCATCTCACCTCAGCCATTTTTTATTTTTTTTGGAGCATATCTATTGGTCTGAAAGAGCACTGATTGTTTTGTTCTAGGTAGGCTACCTAAAGTTTGTGTTTTTTGTTTTTGTAATGTTAAAAAATTACAGAATAAAAAAACTGATACTTGGCACTGTGTGACAGTACAATATATCACGATACTATGCTGTATTGATTTTTTTCCCACCCCTACTACTACTACTTTTTTTTTTTTAACTGACCAAACAATCTGTTGATTAATGGAGAAAATGATCCACATCAACAAATCAAATAGTCTAATTATATAATATATAACAGTATAACAGTCATAGTCTGTATTATTAACTTTCAGTACTTTTACTTACTAACCTTTGTGTTAATATAACAGTGATACTAAAACAAACAGCTGTACAGATGCAGTACACCAACACATCTTGCACACAGACGCCATCTGGATTCTATTAGCGTCATCGTTTAGAATGAATGGGGGTCAGGTCAAAGGGTTGACCCCTTTAATGACCTTGTCTCATCCCACAAAAAATGTGGTCAAACCCAACGTTAATGTACTCGCAACCATTTTTAAACCATTTATGAGTGTGCAACAACAAGATACAAAAATACAGCTTGTTAATCTAAAGTGCAAATATAAAGCTTACACATGTAGATATTACAGTTGTAATGTCACCAGGTTTAAGTCCATTTAACAGCCAAGGAAAACTCTCATTACCAGTTAACGGACCAGGTGTGTTTTACTGCCTTTTCTCTGGATGACACCACCCAGAATGACCTGACTCTGACTCTGGAGTTTTGAAATATAAATGAGGTATATCAGGGGTTTTTTCACTTGTTTATGTCATTTTAAACTCTGGATAGAAACTTAAGATGAATCTTTAAAATGTAAAGTGTCATGCATGTGATGGAGAAACCAGGCCAAGCAGCACATTTTGTTTATTACAACAAGTAACTGAGCTTTGCGGCAGCTTATCCTGCAAAACAAAGTCGAGAGTTAGATATAAAAATTGTTCTTTTACACAGCACTGCCAGTTTCTGTATTCCTGGTATTTGGGGGCTGACAGAGCATATTCCATGCCCCCTGTTTTGCCATGGCTTCAAGTAACACAGCAAATATTGCCACATGAACTCATATTTCAGTCATTAGCTGAAATAATAGCAGCCATGATGGAAAACAAGAGCAATTCCACATCTCCGCTGGGGCCTGAGAGAATGTGCCGCCACTGCGCCGCCCAAATATCTGAGTGAAGGGCTGGTTATCACAGTGCAGATGGAAGCTGCCCTCCTGACACGAGCACACAGTGACTGACACTGTACTAGATATTATTGTCTGCCACCCCCAGAAGAGCCACAACACTCAGCAGCCCCCAGACTAAAAAGTCTTGAGCCTTTCCAAGTCCTGCACGCAATGTTTTTTCTTTGCGGTCAGCCCTCTGCAGCCACACTTGTTTTTCTAGTGACTTGAATGACACCCAGCCGACATAACAAAAACCCAACACCACCACTATTTCAGCAGAGGGAGGGTGGGATGGAGGGTTTGAGGATGTTGAGTTAAAAGATGGCCTAAAGCATCTGGAAGACAACCAGGATGTTGAGGGTTTCATTTTAAATTACTGCTGTGGTCGCTAATCAAGAATACAATTTGTTTATTTACCAGATTCACATATTTCTGCTTTCCGCCCTTCTTAGAAACATGAAGTTACGTTAGACCAAATACTCGAGTGTCACAATACAACAGCTCATTCAAGCTGTGCGACACACTGAGCTACATGCAAACAATAGCTCAGTGGTGTAGGAAGTATTCAGATCTTGTACATGATACTGCTCACAACAAGGTCTGTAGAAAGAGACATTGCTCTTTTGTTGAGTTTTTCAAAGGTATTGTTCAGTCAGGAACACTTTGGTCAAAGAACACTATATTCCCATTTGTAGTATTATATTTGGCAGTATGGCTCTGTTCTGGGGCCTCTCTGCCTTTCCTTGGCCTACGCAGAAAGCTTCTTACATGCGCCTATGTGGAAAGCCTGAAGCCGAGAGAGCCAACCTCCCTGCCCTTCCATGTGCCGACATGGAAAGCCTAACCCCCAAGTTCCACCAGATGCGTGTGGGTTGCATCTGCACTCCGGAACGGTAGCAGAGCTGATATGTTTCAATTCTAGTCAATGTGTGTGTTTCCACCGGCTCCGTCACAGCTGCGGCGCTCTGGAGCCCTCCACAACAGATATGCAGGACTTGTATTTTTGCTGGACGCCAGAGCACAACGCAGCAATTCAGCACAGAGCAGATTGTGCGGGGCAGGAAGTCGTGCAGAGAAACAAATAAAACATCCGGTTAATTTTCAAAAATAAAATACACAGTGTTCACGGCAGATCATATTTCCCTGCACTACACCTTGAAAACGTCATAATGGGTGGAGGCAGGCCTGAAGTCAACAGGTCAGATGTTTTCAGACATTTAACCCTGTTGACACTATGGACGAGGAGATGTTAATCATGGAGGTGCACCGAGATGTCTTCCTACTACTCCTCTGGTTTTGTGGTTCTGTTTATAGAAACTACATCTTGTTATATCGTGCGATCATGCGTGAATTTGCGAGATCTTGTGGATTCTCGTGACTCCCACTGTCCGGCGCAGCTGCACCGCTCTGCACAGCAAACGCAGCCGGTGGGTGTTGACAGACGGCTGAGCACACAGCGGATAACCAGCGCAGCCGTTCTGCAACAGACACGCATCCAGTGGAATTCCAGCGTAAGGCAGAGAGAGCAAACCTCCCTGCCCTTCCATGTACCTACATGACAAACACCAAACAACAGCAACAATGACAAACAGAAATGACACTGATAAGTCAGACACAACTGTCCCTTTAAAGGTGCTTGAACTTCAGTTTGAGTTTGAGTGACCTTACTTACAGTCTAGCTACATTCAAGTTACAGTCAAAGGCTAAAAAACAATGCTGGCCCAGAATCCAGGATCTGGATCACCACCAACCATCTCATTAGTTGTGGTTTGCCCTAACATGAACTCCACATGCCAGTTAACCTTCAGGATCCATCCTGTTGTGCTCCTCCGCCTCCTCCTTCCTTCATTCTTACTTTTTTCTTTACATGCACAAACCCACAACTACTGTCTGTCTGCAACTCCTCCTGCCACTACAAACAGCGATTTCATTGTGTTCTACCCACAAACGTGGAAATCC